CTGACTGCATAAAAAAAATCCTTCCAGTAGCACCTTTAAGACCAACTAAGTTAGTTCTTGGTATGAGCTTTCGTGTGCAAGCACACTTCTTCAGATACACTGAAACAGAAGTTGCCAGATCCTTCTATATAGTGAGAAGGTGGGGAGGGTATTACTCAGAAGGGTGGTGGGAATGGGAGATTGGCAGATAGCTGAGATGAGCCTGCTGACGACTCTTAACGACTGTAATAGGTCTTACAGGAAAAGGCAAGGGGTGAGAAGGTGAGAAATGGCTTAGTCATGTATAATGGGATAAGAATCCAATGTCTTTGTTCAAACCAGGTCTCTCCATGGTTTTAAGTTTGGTAATGAGTTGCAATTCAGCAGCTTCTCTTTCCAGTCTATTTCTGAAATTCCTTTGTAGTAAAACAGCTACTTTGAGATCTTGTATAGAATGTCCTGGGAGATTGAAGTGTTCTCCTACTGGTTTCTCTGTTTTGTGATTCTTGATGTCAGATTTATGTCCATTTATTCTTTGGCGTAAGGTTTGGCCTGTTTGTCCAATATAGAGAGCTGAAGGACACTGTTGGCATTTGATGCCATACACAATGTTAGATGATGAGCAATTGAATAGTCCCGAGATGGTATGTGTGATGTTGTTGGGGCCAGTAATGGTGTTGTCCGGGTGTATGTGGCAGCAAAGTTGGCATCTGGGTTTATTGCAGGCTCTGGTGCCAGTGTCCGTGTTAAGTCTGGTTGTAGTATTATTGTGGGTTAGGAGTTGTTTAAGATTGGGCGGCTGTCTGTAGGCAATGAAAGGTCTTCCTCCCAGAGCTTGAGAAAGAGAACTGTCATTGTCCAGGAGAGGTTGTAGATCTCTGATGATGCGTTGTACTGTTTTAACTTGGGAGCTGTATGTGATGACTAGAGGTGTTCTGTTATTTTCTTTTTGGGGTCTGTCTTGCAGCAAGTTCTCTCTGGGTATAAGTCTGGCTCTGTTGATCTGTTGTCTAACTTCATCTGCTGGGTATTTTAGTTCTGAAAAGGTTTGCTGTAGATCTCTTAGGTGAGAGTCTCTGTCTGTAGAATTGGAACAGATGCGGCTGTAACGTAGTGCCTGGCTATATACAATGGACTGTTTGGTATGTTTGGGATGGTAGCTAGAGGCATGTAGATATGTTTGTCGGTCAGTTGGTTTACGGTATAAGGTGGTGTCTATGCGCCCATCCTGTATTTTTATAGTAGTGTCCAAAAATGTATTTCTTGCATAGATTGATTCATTGTAAGGTTGATTGTGGGGTGAAAATCATTAAATTTCTGGTGAAAGGTGTCCAGGGTCTGTTGACCATGTGTCCAGATGATAAAAATATCGTCAATGTATCGCAGGTACAAGAGAGGTTTGAGTGGGTAGGAGTTTAGGAAACGTTGTTCTAAATCTGCCATGAAGATGTTGGCATACTGTGGGGCCATGCGGGTGCCCATTGCTGTGCCGCTGATCTGAAGGAACAGGTCATCACCGAATTTGAAGTTGTTGTGGGTAAGGACAAATTGGCAGAGTTTGGTGGCAAGGTCCGCTGTGGTTTTATCTGAAATGGTGTTCCTTATAGCTTGTAAACCATCGTTGTGTGGGATGTTGGTATACAGAGATTCCACATCCATAGTAGCTAGTATAGTATTGTTGGGAAGATTATTTAAAGATTGTATTTTCCTCAGAAAATCTGTGGTGTCACGTACATAGCTGGGAGCACTGATGGCATATGGTTTCAGAACAGAGTCCATATAACCGGAGACACCCACTGTAATAGTGCCAATACCTGAAATGATGGGGCGTCCTGGATTTCCTGGTTTGTGTATTTTAGGTAGAAGATAGAAAGTTCCTGGTCGAGGTTCTGTTGGTGTGTTGGTGAGGATCTGTTCTTGGATGTGTGGGGGTAGCTCCTTAACAATCTTGTTCAGTTCTTTCTTGTATTCTTGTGTGGGGTCTGAGTCCAATTTTGTGTAAAGGCGGTATTGGAAAGTTGTCTGTGAGCCTCCTGAATGTAGTCAGTTTTGTTCATGATGACGACAGCTCCACCTTTGTCTGCTTCTTTAATTATAATGTCTGGGTTGTTTCTGAGATTATCTATGGCTCTCCTTTCAGCATGGTTTAGATTTTGTTGTAAGCGATGGTGTTTTCTGGTGTTTTCTGGTGTTTTCTTCACCATCGCTTACAACAAAATCTAAACCATGCTGAAAGGAGAGCCATAGATAATCTCAGAAACAACCCAGACATTATAATTAAAGAAGCAGACAAAGGTGGAGCTGTCGTCATCATGAACAAAACTGACTACATTCAGGAGGCTCACAGACAACTTTCCAATACCGCCTTACACAAAATTGGACTCAGACCCCACACAAGAATACAAGAAAGAACTGAACAAGATTGTTAAGGAGCTACCCCCACACATCCAAGAACAGATCCTCACCAACACACCAACAGAACCTCGACCAGGAACTTTCTATCTTCTACCTAAAATACACAAACCAGGAAATCCAGGACGCCCATCATTTCAGGTATTGGCACTATTACAGTGGGTGTCTCCGGTTATATGGACTCTGTTCTGAAACCATATGCCATCAGTGCTCCCAGCTATGTACGTGACACCACAGATTTTCTGAGGAAAATACAATCTTTAAATAATCTTCCCAACAATACTATACTAGCTACTATGGATGTGGAATCTCTGTATACCAACATCCCACACAACGATGGTTTACAAGCTATAAGGAACACCATTTCAGATAAAACCACAGCGGACCTTGCCACCAAACTCTGCCAATTTGTCCTTACCCACAACAACTTCAAATTCGGTGATGACCTGTTCCTTCAGATCAGCGGCACAGCAATGGGCACCCGCATGGCCCCACAGTATGCCAACATCTTCATGGCAGATTTAGAACAACGTTTCCTAAACTCCTACCCACTCAAACCTCTCTTGTACCTGCGATACATTGACGATATTTTTATCATCTGGACACATGGTCAACAGACCCTGGACACCTTTCACCAGAAATTTAATGATTTTCACCCCACAATCAACCTTACAATGAATCAATCTATGCAAGAAATACATTTTTGGACACTACTATAAAATACAGGATGGGCGCATAGACACCACCTTATACCGTAAACCAACTGACCGACAAACATATCTACATGCCTCTAGCTACCATCCCAAACATACCAAACAGTCCATTGTATATAGCCAGGCACTACGTTACAGCCGCATCTGTTCCAATTCTACAGACAGAGACTCTCACCTAAGAGATCTACAGCAAACCTTTTCAGAACTAAAATACCCAGCAGATGAAGTTAGACAACAGATCAACAGAGCCAGACTTATACCCAGAGAGAACTTGCTGCAAGACAGACCCCAAAAGAAAATAACAGAACACCTCTAGTCATCACATACAGCTCCCAAGTTAAAACAGTACAACGCATCATCAGAGATCTACAACCTCTCCTGGACAATGACAGTTCTCTTTCTCAAGCTCTGGGAGGAAGACCTTTCATTGCCTACAGACAGCCGCCCAATCTTAAACAACTCCTAACCCACAATAATACTACAACCAGACTTAACACGGACACTGGCACCAGAGCCTGCAATAAACCCAGATGCCAACTTTGCTGCCACATACACCCGGACAACACCATTACTGGCCCCAACAACATCACACATACCATCTCGGACTATTCAATTGCTCATCATCTAACATTGTGTATGGCATCAAATGCCAACAGTGTCCTTCAGCTCTCTATATTGGACAAACAGGCCAAACCTACGCAAAGAATAAATGGACATAAATCTGACATCAAGAATCACAAAACAGAGAAACCAGTAGGAGAACACTTCAATCTCCCAGGACATTCTATACAAGATCTCAAAGTAGCTGTTTTACTACAAAGGAATTTCAGAAATAGACTGGAAAGAGAAGCTGCTGAATTGCAACTCATTACCAAACTTAAAACCATGGAGAGACCTGGTTTGAACAAAGACATTGGATTCTTATCCCATTATACATGACTAAGCCATTTCTCACCTTCTCACCCCTTGCCTTTTCCTGTAAGACCTATTACAGTCGTTAAGAGTCGTCAGCAGGCTCATCTCAGCTATCTGCCAATCTCCCATTCCCACCACCCTTCTGAGTAATACCCTCCCACCTTCTCACTATATAGAAGGATCTGGCAACTTCTGTTTCAGTGTATCTGAAGAAGTGTGCTTGCACACGAAAGCTCATACCAAGAACTAACTTAGTTGGTCTTAAAGGTGCTACTGGAAGGATTTTTTTTATTTTGACTATGGCAGACCAACACGGCTACCTATCTGTGTCTGACTGCAGTTGGGGTTGCTTTGTGTATGGGATTGTTCCTTGGAGCCAGGTGCTAATATGTAGCTGAGCGCTGCTGCTTGAACTCTTGCTGGGTTGTGATTTAATAAATATAAATAAATACAAGCGGTGCAGTTAAGTGACGTATAGCTTGTTCATTTTGTCAGCAGTTACGCAGAGCAATTGATAATAGTAATTCCTACTCATAGCTATAAATCCATTGGCTATTAATTGAGATACTATCGATTAATAATTAATTCATCAACAGTGCTCCGAACTTTATTGACGCACAATAATTGTATACTAGCATTTAATTACAGTCAAGTTATTAATTGATTGGTGATATTAATACTAATTAAAAATAACAACAACAATAATAAAATAAAATAATAAAATAAAATAAATTTGAAAAATAAATAAATAATAATTAATAATAATAAATAATTATAATTATAAATAATAAAAATAAAATAATAATAATAATAATTAATATTTAAAATATAAATAAATAAATAAATGAAAATTAAATTTAAAAATAATAATAATAATTAGTGACGAAATAAATAGTAGACGCATTTTACTAGTGCACAGAGCAGCTCATGGCGCCCAAGAGGAAGCGCACGGGTGCAGTACCAGCACACACCGCAGCTGTCAACCGTCGTAATAAAAAACCCAAACCCATTTCGCAGTTCCTCAATGCCTTCAGATCATTCATTGTTGACTATGAACAGCGCTTTCTCTTAGCTATTCTTTAGTTCTATTTGCCTTGCGTTTCTTTCTTCCTTGTTTCGCAAACCAGTGGCCAGCCTTTAAACTACTCAGGTGCAGGCCCAAGCCCTCAGACAGGAACGGCGGCTGTGCAAACTAGGTCTCAGGCTTGCTCGCCGACTTTCAGAACCGCACCAGGGCGCCTGCGTGGAGGCTGCCGGCCCATATCAATAACCCGGTTGCTTCCAGTTCTTCTAGTTCTTTGCAGAATAAGCAGCCCAGGGTCCAGCTTCCAGAATCAGGCACCTCATCAGCCGGTGATGATGAGTCAGAATGGCTTACGCCCTTTCTGGGGAGGCCGCCGCTATTAGCATCTGGCAGTTAGCCCGTATGTCGAGAAGAAGCCATCAGAGGTGTATCGCACTGGAAAGCTGGGCCTTAGAAAGGATTTAAAACGTAAGGTGTGCTGGTAATTCAATAAAGGGCAATGCCAAAGGCAGTCTTGTAAGTACCCGCAGGAGTGTGAGAGATGTGCAGGGGCTCACCCAGCCACAGCGTGTTACAAAGGGAAGCGGCCCTTTGGGGAGGTCGGGGCTTCCACCACTCTAGTTCTAGACGAGCCCCCGCAGCAGCGAACCATCGATAAAGTCCTTCTGGGTCTAGCATTTTCTCCAATTCAGCTTTCTCCTCTCCTCAACCTCTTGTCTATCCATCCGGACGGAAGTGCAGCATCCTATCTTTGGAAGGGTTTCTCAGAGGGTTTCAGAATCCCAGTAGTTGGCTCCTTAACCGCGAAGGACTCTCCTAATCAGAAGTCAGTAAGGGAAAGGACGCTCGCCTCACCCAACGGGTAGCTAGCCCCACCCCTGGGTGCACACTATGTGTGCCACTTTGGGTGCCAGAGCAGCTAGCTCCGCCTCTGGAGTCACACTATGGCATACAGCTAATTGGGATGAACCCAACAGGGCCGCCACTTAGCCCCTGCTTGGTCTCCAGGACAGAGGCACCCCTTCCCAGACCCACCCCCCTTTTGAGATTATTAGGCAACCAAATGTATCATTCCATAACACCTCATACAGGAATTATTATTATTATTATTATTATTATTTTCCCATGGGGAACCTGCCTTTTTCTCCCAGATCAACTACAAGAGCAAGACCACAGCTTTAACAAAATGACAGCCCAAACAGGAAGACACATGGGAGCAATGGTACTGCTTTGAAGTGTTCCAGATCCATTTCCTGTTCTCCCAATGAGCAGGGCAGCTGTGGGCAAAATTGCAAAGAAGTACAATAATGATTTAGTCCTTAGTCCTATAATCTAGTAAGCCTTTAAGCCCAACAGTCGAAATCGCATAATTTCAATGCTTTAACTATATTAGGGAACATGTATAGTTAGTAAACAAATTGCTAGTTTGGTGAGAAATAGCATTTCACTGAAGTGGATAACGCTTTTGCCAAGAGCTCACCTTTGGCAATCTTCTAGAACATGTTGCATATGTAGCAGTTCTTTCTAGCTAGAGTGAAACTGAAACCTGACATTTACAGTACCAGATAGAAGTGTTCTGGTATGTCCTGGCTGTGTCTGGAATGTCCTGGCCGTGTCTGTAGTACAACAGTTTTGGAAATCTGTAGGAGAGCATCCCACCAATCTCTTGTCATACTAACAATCGTGTTATCAACTAACAATCAAAAGTGCAAAAATTTTAGCTACATGGGCAACAGGATGTTGGCTAGAAGCAACTGGTTTTCTGAAGCTAAAACTTACAATTTTGTTCTAGGAGTTACTTGATCACAATATAGAACTATTTGTTTATTCCTTAAGAGTTTTACACATGATGAAAACGTATACTCAGGCAGATAATTTTATAATCACTGTACTATACTATGATACAGTGCATAATGAACATCCACATTCAGTTAGTCTGTGTGCCAGCCCCCCTTCAGATTCAGCACAGAGAGCACCAAGTGACTCAGAAACAAATCAGAAGTTTAAAATTCATGATACAAAATGAGTCTTGGGGCCTATGTGCATACCTAACCTTAAAAATAAAATAAAATAACAAAAACAAACAAACAAACCGCACCACAGGGTAAGACTCCCAAAATCGGTTAAGACAGACCTTGAGATCTGGATCACGTTTCTGGAACGCTACAATGGAGTCTCCTTATGGCAGGAAATCCTCAACCTGTCCTCAGATTTCCAGGTTCACTGATGCCGCTGGGTCCTTGGGCTTCAGTTTATTCTTTAGGGACGCTGGTGTGCTCAACAATGGCCAGCAGAGGAGCAAGGCGAGGCTATCACGTGGGATCTCACTTTTCTGGAGTTTTTCCCCCCTTAGTTGTGGCTGTTCACATTTGGACTGAGGAGTTCCAGAATCGCCGGGTGTGCTTCAGAACTGATAACCAGGCAGTGGTCAACTTACTGGCTTAACAGTCATCGCGTTCCGAGAGGGTGTCGCGCCTACTCCAATCATTCGTCCTCCAGTGCCTCGCTTCCGAGCATTAGCTCCCAGGGCTCAGCCACTGCCAGAACCCATTCCGGAGCACCTGTGGAACCTTGGAGACGTGAAGTGATTAAGGGAGTATTAGCATCTGTCGCACCCTCTACGCTTAGATCATATAAGAAGGTCTGGTGTGATTTCATGGGGTTCAGGTCCAAAGTATCTTCCCTTTCCACCAATGTTACACCCTCCACAGAAAACGTTCTGCAATACTTAACACACCTTCATGGCCTAGGTTGAGCCTCTGAAACTTTGAGGATACACATAGCCGCTATCACATTCTTTAGTAGACCCATGTTTTTCCACCGATTTGTGCTGTGACTTTATGGTCCGCAGGGCAACTGAAGGTTGCAGGTGACTGCAGCCTCCAAGTAACAAAGGCCGTAAGCCTATTTCTTACAAGCTGCTGTCCCAAATCCATATGAAACTTAGGTCAATTTGCTGGTCCAAGTTCGAGGCCCGGGTGTTCTCTGCGGCATACGTTATAGCCTCCTTTAGGCCGGGCCCCCAAATCGTTAAAGATACACGTAGCCGCCATCAGCTTCTTTGTAAAGCCATGTTTTCCTCCGACCCGTGCAGTGACTTCCTGATCCGCAGAGCTATTGAAGGTTGGGGTAAGCTGTAACCCCATAGAGCCGAGGGCCATAAGCCGCAGCATATGCTAAGCCAATTCCTTACGGGCTGCTCTCTCAGATATGCACAAAGTTTAGGTCAATCTGCTGGACCAAGTTTGAGGCCTGCCTTTTTCCCCCCGCTGCATATGCGATCACCTTTTGGCGCCTTGAGGGTCGGTGAAGTAGTAGCTGAGGTTAATGCAACTAGGTCAACGCGCGGCCTCCTCACGGAAGACTTGCAGTTGTCTGAAGCTAGCACGGCGGTGTGGATACATCAATCCAAAACGGAAATCCAATGCTTATAAAAGTTATATTCGCTAGAATGCGCTCTGCTATATTACCCCTACTTACCTCCTTTTCTGTCCTTTTATCCTCAGCTGTGATCAGGAGAAGCGTGTGGATTTGCGGCCACAGTATAGTCCATTGGGCCCGCGTATGGGCAGTCAGCTGCGGCCTTGCGCCTAATCTTGGTCTGCCACACGGTGTTCGAGTTTCCTGGTTCTCGAGAACAGGCATGCGCTGGGAAGAGCTTATGCCATTGCTGTGGGAAAAGTCGCCACGTTCGGCCCTCCTGGCATCCTTGTCATTCAATTAGGGGAAAATGACCTTGCTTACAGAAGGAGTGCGGACTTGTTGTGGAACATAAAAAGAGACTTGGATGCGTTTGCTGCCTTGTGCCCCAGAACAACGGTGTTCTGGTCCTCCTTCCTGAAGAGAATTTTTTGGCGTGGTGCGCTGAGCTGTATGGCCATTGAAAAAACCAGGAAACTCGTAAATCGGGCAGTGGCCCGTTGGGTGCGCTTCATGGATGGCCGAGTCATTATTCATGACCAAATCTGGATCGGCGACCGGGCCTTATACCGGAATGACAGGGTGCTTCCCTCTGCGCTTCATGGATGGCCGAGTCATTATTCATGACCAAATCCGGATCGGCGACCGGGCCTTATACCGGAATGACAGGGTGCTTCCTCTGCGCTTCATGGATGGCCGAGTCATTATTCATGACCAAATCCGGATCGGCGACCGGGCCTTATACCGGAATGACAGGGTGCTTCCTCTGACCTGGGGAACAACATTTGGCTAGATAGTGTCATCAGCGGCATTAGGGATTGGTTACAGCCGTGAGGGTATTGGCGGCGAGCCTTATTGGCTCGGGTGGCGGTTAGGCATTGGAATAATGTGTTGTGGTGTGTCGAAGGGCTAGGTGTGGCCATCGCCTATGCCTTCAATTTTTGGGTATTCCGTTAAAGGAATCTGGCGGTCGTGTGTTCTGTCCGATGCCTGCTTGGCGGGAGGCCATGGCACGACCCTCGGTGACATCAGGGGAGAGCCTATAGTTGGATTAGCATCAACAGGCTCCACCTACTGGTGAATAAACCCACGTGTTTTAGAGATCCAATGCCTAAGCCAATACCTTTTCACTGCTGTAATCAATAAAGTTGTGGCCTTTCCATGCCCATTAACCTTATATCACGTGTCCTTGTGTATTCATTTCACATCGCGGGGGTCGGGTCCTCGAACCACAACAGAGAAGCAGCTCTATTATTCCATCTTTGACTAAGACACGAAACAAGCTTCTTTTTCATCCTGGAAGCCACAGATAAATGTGTTGGAACTTGTTATTTCCTTCTACACTGATTTGCATACCATTTCATCCACTGAAATATCAGATCCTAAGAAAACATTGCATTTTTAGAAAACCCAACAATTCCTAACTTTTTTCCCCAATTAAAATATGCTTGAAGGTGGGCTCTGTGCGACATCTAATAGAGCCAGATGGAATGTTCCAAAGTAAATTAGGATATATTTTTAAAAATAACACTCGAAAGAAGGGAAGGAAATCTTTATAGCCTTTGTTCTGAAAGACGTCCACTGCTGAGCAAAAGGAACCTGAGGTACTCTCCCTAGATGTCCGGATGTCCTAATGTTAATAATCTTCTCCTATTACTTCTTAATGACAAATCACTTCTCATTGTTTAGAGGTGGGCTGCGCCGAGAGAGCCAACACAAACCAAGTGCTCAAAATAACATTTTGTTCATCGTACTTTGTTACTTCAATCACTCATCTTCCATTTTGAGACCATCCCGGGAGGTAAGGAACCTGATGTTCCTGGAACTCCACGAGTTTCGGATACATTATTTTTGGGGGGAGCCAGATGTGGTAGAACTAGACATCCTTCTCCCATTATAAAAGAAAAGGAAAGGAATAATATGATATTAAGGAATAAATAAAATGAATAAAAATCTGTCCGCAACTTTGGCACAATTTATGGTACGGTCACCCTTTATCTCTGTCGACTCTGTAAGCAAAAAGGAAACACAGTTTTGCTTTTCAGACTCGTGTGTGTGTGTGTACACACAGTGCTTTTTTCTTTAAAAAAATGCTTAGGGGTACTCTCATTGGAGGTGGTAACAACAAAACTGACCAATCACCATGCTAGATTCCAACTCCTACTTCACACATTAAACGCTCTCTTCCGTCTGAGACTAAGGAACCACCATGACAGGAAATGAGGCCACCAAAAGCACTGTGTGTGTGGAACTCAGGAGCTGGCTGCCTGGTCTTTTCACCATCTTAACCGGAAATCAACCCCAGAGAAGGTCACACTGTCCTTTCTCTTAGCAAGAGATCTACAGGGGCCTTTCAGCAAATAGGAGGCACTGCTGGTCTCATCCCACTCCTGGTGTGATTCAGAATGGACCCCTTTCATCCTCCTTTGACTTCCACTTCAACTGCCAGTTGTTGTTGTTGTTTAGTCGTTTAGTCGTATCTGACTCTTCGTGACCCCATGGACCAGAGCAGGTGACAGCAAAGGTTGCAAGGTTTTTAGATGGGGCAATTAGAATAAGATTCACTATTTGACTATTGATTCGAAACCTTAAAATGTATATTATATATTATATAATCCATAGTATTAGTATGCATCCCCAGCCTCAGCCTCTTCTGTTGTGCAGTTTACACTGCTACATATAGTGTGCTCAAGGCAGCAAGCTTGAGTCACTGATTTACGTTGGAGCCAGAGGTCGATGGATCTCCACAGCGTAAAGGCTGAGAGGGAGACGGTCCAGCTGCAGCCTAGCCAGCTGGCCTTTCGATCCCCGGGTGCTGACACTGGTATGGTTTCAAATTGGATGGGGAACCACGTGCTGAGATTCCTGCATTGCAGGGGCTGGACTAGATGACCCTCACGGTCCCTTCCAGCTACTGCTCTATGACTCATGCACAAAATACAGTGGTACCTCTACTTACGAACACAATCCATTTCAGGGTGCTGTTCGCACCCCAAAAAGTCCATAAGTAGAGTGCTGCTACTGCACTTGCGCAAAGCGTGACAGAGTGCTTCTGCACATGTGCGAAGTGCGTATATCGCTTCTGTGTGTGCACGTGTGGCGAAACTCGGAAGTATACACTTCCAGGGTTTGCTGCGTTCACAACCCAAAAATCCGCAACATGAAGCAAACGCAACCAGAGGTATGATTGTATATCCTTGGCAAAAATCATTGCAATGTGGGGTGAGGGAAAAGAACTGGATCTCTCTAACCTCCTCTCCCACAGCATATCAATCTAGAACAGTGTTTGCATGTTGAGGTCCCCAGGCCACCCCCTCAAATAACTCACAATTCACACATAATTTTTGTTTAAGGTTTTTGGCATAATTTTGGCCACAACTTTATTAAAATACATATCTGTGAGTGGTTGCTTAGGCATTGGTTAAGACTATCTGTCCCCCCTGCCTGGGACAGAACTGACTTCTGAACTCCCTCAGAAGCCAGTGAAGGAAAACAATTTGGGGAGCAATGGAGCTGAGTCACAGGCCCTCACCGCTCACCCACATGCTCCCCAGGGCTTGCCGGCCCTGGTCCCATTTCAGGGATTGGACAAAATCATGGCAAGCCCCTGGATTCCTTTAACGGAATTCCCTTCCGCACCACCATTGGAGGGGCAGGCCCAGCCTATCCTTACCCCTCCTCCAACCAATTTTTTATAACCAATCCCTAACCGCAACCTTACAAGTTGTGACGAATTGCTATGTAGTAGGCAAAAACCAAATGGCACCAGCCAACCAACCAAATGGACAAAATTCCTACAAGGCCCTGCCCCAACGGCAGACGACCCCATGACAGGCATAGCAAGGTCAACCGGAACTCAAGGCGGGCGGGCGGGTGATCCGATGCACTCAGCGAAAGAGAAAGCAAAAGCTGAGTGCCCCCAATATTTAAAGTCTTTGGTCCCACCCACCACATTGCAACATGCAACCCGGCCATCCAATCGTTGCCCCAGGTCAGCCTTCTTTTACCCTGCCTGGCAACAGAGGGATGGCTTGGCTGACCCCACCGCAACACGTGCTCTCATTTCAGGGAGAACACGCTTTCTCAAACTTGGCTCTCCAGCTGTTTTTGGACTACAGCTCCCATCATCCATAGCTAACAGGACACAGCTGGAGAATCAAGTTTGGGAAACACTGATCTAGAAGGCTTCCTTTCTAATAACACTTAAAAGCCAGTGAGTTTCTCTGTCTCTCTATATATACACACAGAAACATATCCTTGCATAATCTTGGCTTTTTCTTCTTCTACTACTTCCAACCCCTGGGGTTCCTGTAATAAACAAACTTTTGGATTTAAAGCAAAGGTCACTGGCACTATTGGGCAGCTTTTGTTCACATTCAGATGGAGGGATGGAGAAATGAGGGAAAGCACTAAAATGCATTTGAGACCTCCTTTAAATGTCATTAGGTTAAAGGTGATTTGCAGCTTATTGAGGAGATCTCATCCAACTGAGCCACAGAATGAGGACTGAATATAGTTTGGCCTGATGACCTTTAACTAACACAGTATTTTGTGAATCTCCTTTACTGCTGTACAAAACAATTTGCATTCATACCTCTTATTTTTTTGCAAGGATTGTGGTGCAAGTCCACTAGGCAGGAAAATAAACAAACCTAGGTCTGTTTTGTAAAAACAATATACAGAATGGGTTTGTAGCCAGGGTTGAGTAGGACAAATTACAAGATAAATTCAACTCTAATGAAATTAAGAGCTAGTAGCCATATCTGTTAGAGTAGATGTCTCTTAGTCTGTGAGCCCTGGGAATCTCTGGCCCTTCAGAAGTTGTTGTACTCCAACTCTCATCAGCCCCCGCCAGCAGGGATGATGGGAGTTGTAGTCCAGTAATAACTGGAGGCCACAGTTTCCCCTGTCTTTTACAATGCACAGCACGAGGTCAAGCAAGCGAGGTCATTCCATGCACTAACCCCACCTAGTAAGCTACTAGAAGGCTTATGATGTTGCATCCCCATTAAACTAGATAATATGCCCAGTGCAGAAATGAATTTATTTTACGGTGTTTATAGAAGATCAATATGAGCTATAAAGCCCCAGCTCAGTGGTTCAATATGAGTGTTAATATGTTCGTGCCCTGAGCTGCTCTACAGATACTGTTGAGCAAAAGCCACTTCAGTGAGTGGGCTCTCTAGTTTACTTGGCACTATTCTCTTTATGGTTGCCAGTTCAGTAAGCCAATCACTCCACTGATTTCCATCTCAGCAAATGATTTTCCAATCTGAAAGGCCAGGGGAGTTTCTTTATTTAATATGCTGGAAACTGGAAAGAGCGTGAGTTGCCAAAAGAGCAAACAGCTGTATAAACTACATTTGCTCTTAATTCAACCCAGCTTCCCTCTCCTCAATTTTACCTGCTTCTGCTCCTTATCATGTGTTGCTCAAATCGGATGGTTAGAGTTTATCAGACAACAAAGAAGAGTAGGAAGCCCAAATTCCATTTAAAACAAGTATAGGTCCTCCAGTTGTTGTTTTCTCCCCCATGATCAGGCTACCACCTCCCAGCCCGTGCTGGTTGGGGGTGATGGGGACTGCAGTCTGACAACATCTGGAGGTCTACAGGTTCCCTGTCCCTGATTTAAAAGAAAACAAATGCAAATATGACAGCATGTCCGTCTATCAATCACATTTCCAGATAGCCTTTCAATAATATTGGTCAACAAGGTACCTTATAAGTATGGTGCAATCAATCAATCAAGCAAGCAAGCAAGCAAGCAAGCCCATAGAACTCTTAACATATGAGCCATAATAATAATAATAATAATAATAATAATAATAATAATTTACTATTTATGCCCCGCACATCTGGCTGGGTTTCCCCAGCCACTCTGGTCAGCTTCCAACCAAATATTAAAAACAATACAGCGTCAGACATTAAAAACTTCCCTAAACAGCTATCTTTTAAAAGTAACTACAGTGGTAGCTGTAAAATTTTA